TTAATTAATGGCAAGAAAAATCTTAGCTATGTAATCCATATCGGTGATTTTCCATTTGTTGTTTATGTTGATTGATGGACTATTTGGTATTGTTAGGTATGTGGGTGAAAGTATACATCACTCACATGCCTACTTGTATTATTGATTCTTCTTGCTAAAGCTTTGCATTCTAATAGTAGGTATAGTATACAATTTCTTGATCGAATGATTATATAGTTTTCAAACATACCTTCTCTACCTCCTACTCTTCCCAAGGCCTACACAGGATAGATTTCCTACTTCTCATGCGAACACAATGCTATGAAACCACTCTTCAATCAATTTCTACCATTCTCCACCTCACCACCTTTCTTAAGTTTCACTACAACCTCTTCACACATTACCCCTACCTCCACCGTCAACTATTTTGCCCACTAAAAAACTTGATGCCATGACCTTGAGTTTATTGAGAAGATACAAACAAGGCATGAATCCTTGTCAACATGGCTGCCACCACCACATGATGCTAACTCTGTGTGGTCACCTAACCCTACCACACACACTAGATTTGAACCCTCACTCAAAAAAACACCCCTTGTTGAATTGCACACCTCCCAACACACACCCCTTAATCCCGCGAGTACCCCTTGCCTAGTATGTTGCCCACCAATAAGATTGTAATGCATTGAATCCTATATCTAGATGAAATTGTGAGTGTAATTGGTGTATAAATGTTATGACCAAACATTATTAACAACTTTAGATTAAACTTTTAAAGGCTTATGAATCTTAACTAGAAAAATTGTTAAACCAATGGCAAGTTTCATCTTAAGTTGTTTCAGTTTGTATTATAGCAATCAAATCATGCAAGCCTATATTAACTATCATGACCTGTGGCAGTGTGAACCTCACATCTTGAGATGAATCATCTGCTTGTGAACCAATAGACTTCTAATTGTGATTGGGTAAAACTCACTTACGCCTTGGAAACCTTAAGGCAACAACAAGAGAAACACATTTGGTGTATTCTCATAAAGAAAACTCTAATTTTGAGTTAATAAAAATTAAGATTTTAATCCTAGTCTCTTTGTTTTAAAATAATAGACTTTTTATTTTAAAATTTATCTCAAAATAATTGTAAATTTTTATATTTTAAGAAAAACAAATATAAGTAAACCTATTTAAATTTGACCATTATGTTTTAATTTAATTATTTGTTTTATTATAAAAAATTATTTTTATTTTTTAAAAGTAAAATAAGTAAAAATTGGAAGAGAGGTAGTAAAAGATTACTAAAGAAATTGCTAGCTTTGGATTAAAGAAAAAAAAAACCAAAAAAAAAAACAACTCTTGAAGTGGAATGAGAAATGGGGATGGATACGGACGTGGTCTACGTCACAATGTTGCTTTGTTGTAGCTGGCGATTTGACTACACTTTCTGACTTCTCGTGAAAATATTACTTCCTCTGCCTTTTTTTTTCCCCCTTCTTTTTTATTCTACTCTGTCTTTTTTTGCTTTTTTTTTTTTTCCTACCATTCCTGTTTTTGTAGTTGCGTTATTACTTGACCGAAGGTGTTGTTAATTTGTCTCTGATAATTTTGTTAAGGTTGTTAATGTTATATGTAATTTATTAATTTATAAATTTTTTTAATAATTAATTATAATATTTATAAATATTTATTTATAAATTAATTTTAATAAAATAAATAATAAACATTAATTATTTTATTAATTAAACAGATAAGCAAATCTATTCCTTAAATAAAAATGCAGAGGCAAATCTACTTCTAAAAAACTTATGAATAATTTTTTTAATTATTGAGCAAGATAAAATTACTTATTATTTTACATGTGATGTTATTACATGTCAAAAATTCATTTATTACCCAAGCATATTTTTAGTAAAAAAACTAATATATAATAACATTACATATTAAATAATAAATAAGTTATTTTAATTTATGATTTAGATGAGCAATTTATTCTTACTTTTTTTTTAAAGAAAGATCTGTTGTCGTCCTCCTATTTTAGAGGTAAATTTGGCGGGTTGATATGGTAGTTATTACATATTTTTAATAATTAAGAGGTAAATTTGGCGGGTTGATATGGTAGTTATTACATATTTTTAATAATTAAATTAAGATAAGAATTAAAATAATTTTCATGACTCTAATAAAATTATTGGTGCCCATAACCACATCCATACTAAAATAAAAATGAATTAAAGAAAGATAGAGTGAATATCATATTTAGTCCTCAATTTTTATCATAAAAATAAAATATTATCCTAACAATTTATTTGGATAAAAAAATAGTTCTAAAACTTTTTAAAATTAACTAACTTAATCCTACTAATAGTTACTGTTGTTAAGTTTCTAACTGGATGTTTGGGAGACTCACAAGAATTTTTACATATTCTTTCTTTTTATTTCTATTGCCTTAAACTTATTTTTGCAAAATTTTGAATTTAAACACATTGATTCTACTCTTAAGTTAACTCAGTTTAGTGTCTTTGAGTTAGGGTTTTCAAAAGAAACCCTTCCTACTTTTATAATGGAGGATGTACTGTTATTTGTTGTATGAATTTGAATATCCTATGGATAGTGAATGCGCACTTTATTGATTAGTATACGCTTTTGTTGAGAAATGATTGGAAAACTTTTTTTATTTTTTCCTTTACAAAGATATAGGGTTTATGTATGTTTTACATTTTGTAATCTACTAATTTGGGATAAATACTCATTTCATATTTTTTATTTATTTTATAAAATAATAATTTAAATAATAAATAAATTATAATTAAAAAAATTTTAAGTTATAAAATTGTTATATTATTAAGTTATTAAATTAAGCTAGAAATAGTTGACAAAAGTTTCGAGAACTAAAATAAGGGTTTTGTATTAGGAAGAAGAGGAAGCGAATAAGACATAATATTTAGAGTTCCTCAAGAGAGAAACAAAAAAGAAAAAGTATGTTTTGGTCTTGAAAAAAAGAATGGTTTAGGCTTTTTCTTTTTTTTTTTTAAGGGCCTTGTTGGCTATCAACATTTTAGCTAACATTTTCAGTAGAAATTTAATGGAAGTGACTAATGATACCTTAAGATTCATGATTTTAAAAAAGTTAGGGATTATTTCGAATTTAAATAGAAAGTTAAAACAATATATAAGATTTATTGTAAAGATTGAGAATTAAATTTGACATTAAAAAAAATAAAATTTTCATTTTCTACAAAATTTTATTATTATTAATTTTTTAGTAAAT